GCGGACCCCGAATTCGGAGACTCCCCGCACAACACTAATCTGAACTTTTGGTTGCAGTCGCAAAAGTTGAGAGAATATGATAGAACTGAATTCAGGACAAAACGAGATATGCTACATGTGGATACGAATTGTGCGTCTAGTCGTTGTGTTCCATCACCGGTGATAATCTGTACACCTGATGATGAAAAAAAGACCGAAACTAATGAACAACAGCACTCACCATCTATTAACGAAGATACCAAATCTGAGTCAAGCAGCCGTAAAACTGAAGAAACTGAATACAATTTCGAAGAGGTGGATAAGATACACCTTTAATAAATCTTTTTTGTAATTATTGCTGCCATTTTATCTTTTTTCCATTTGATATTTCATGACAAGAAGAAATTCTTGCCCAGCTGAGCTGCTAGGCATTGGCTTTCATTCACTCAGATTACCTTACGATGTTTTTCGTATTAATTGCTGTTCTATAAATAAATGAATCGATTCCATTATGATTGCATTAAATGCCAAAAGAACTTACAACTATACTGTTAAATTGTAATGAGGATTTTATTGAATATTTAATGAAATCAGCATAAACATTTAAAATTAATGCATGGCGAGTTCAAGGGTGCATTCCCGTGTTTATCTGAAGAGGCGAACGAATTGGAGCTAGCGGAAACAGAGAAGCCTCGCGAAAGACCCTCTTTCAGTTCGGTGGCTGCGGGAAAACGGAAGGAGTTAAAGGAAAAAAGAAGCTACGCTCAGACTCTTAAACAAAGCAACGGGTATGAATAACTGTCAAATTTTTTTATTGTTGTTTTCATTTGGTTAAATGGTGCGCGTGCGTGTTATAATTCACATTCATCATCTAATCTATTGATAACTACGAAAGTTGTTTTGGAATACTGACTCACAAAATTTAAAAAAAAAACAAGCATCTTTACGAACACAACGAACCGACTCTGCCACTTCATAATTATCGCCAACTTCTTGACATTCCATGTGTTTGTGATCTTCTTTCATCTATATCGTGATTTTTCGTTTTTTGCTTACTCTTTTTCGTTATTGTTCAAGTCTTCTTCTTTGCATACGACTGCATTTTTTGGAACATATTATGCAAATTTTGAACGAAAATTCAACATTCAAATATCGTTTGCACTACTTTTTTCATACAATCACCTAAAAAGCAAAAGAATTATTCTCGCTGGATCGATTCTCATTTTAAACTTCACAATTTTGTTCGATCGAATTATCAATTTCGTTACTTTCTGTTACTACGAATAATTTCAATTTTCAATAATTTCAATTTTCAGTTTTCATATTTTCATACCTTTTGACTTTCTAATCCACACTGAAGCGTGCAAGTGAATTACAACTTCCATGCATCATTCACCTTTGTTCATTTAAACGTTCACTATCATCCAATTAAAAACCGCATTAGCTGTATAACCAATTGTTCATTACGTTGTAGATTCATTCTGCAAGTTAACGCATCTCAAGATCTTTTGCTAGTAGTAGTACTGTTGAATCGTTGAACAGATGCATCAGCTTAATGATCGTTTGTTGATCATTACTCAGAAAATTTATTCGAATCCTTGTTTATCTGGAGACGAACTTCGCGTTTCGTTTTTCAGTAGCTGGTGCCTGCTCTTCGTACTTCTATACAATTCCTCTCTTCTATTTTACGACTTCCTGTATGTCAACTCCTCAGATAGATCATAGATTCCGATTACTTTTTTTTTCAGAATATGAAATTTCGAATGGTCACTAAGCAATGAATTTTCCCTGAAACAGAATTTCGTTTCTTTGAACGCCTAACGAATAACTGATGTCAGAATTGATGGGTATAAGTGCTATCGCATTCTTACGAACCTCTTTGCACGCTTTCGAAGCGTCCTTTCGAATAAAATTGAAACGTCAATTATATTCTCTGTTATTTCAAGACTCATTGAAGGTGTTGTTCATTAGTGTTTTTTTTTTCAGATGAATACAACTCCGTTCAATGCTCTACAGACATACCTCGACTGATGTGGGTGATTGTTTGCATAGGTCACGACGTAAGTCAAAAAACGACGTTTGTTGAAACAAGTCATCTTATGGACTACTAGTAGGCATTGTGCAGTGCTGTAATTCAGTGTGTTGTGGCACGTTGTTGCGATTTTATGCTTTTTTGATGAGCTTTCTGGTTTTCTAACGCTTTGATATTTTGAGGCGGATAGTTGTAAGTTTAATGTAGCACGATGATCGTTTTTGTGCAGTAATTAGGAAAGTGTCTTGCATTTGTTTCGGATAGGATATAGATCGAGGTATGTCTGTATTTATATGGTGGATAATGTTGGCATTGGGAAGAAATAAAACTGTACGTGTCACACAAACACATTCGGTTTTGTTTGAATGGCAAGATTCGGGATTGGTAATCGTTAAATTTCTGAATCACTTCTACATCCATAAAATGCTTTTTACTAGAAAATACATTGAAGATAGATCAATGGAAGCATGTATGTATGAACGATGTGAATCATTCGATGATCGCTCGTCATAAACGTACTCCTACCTTGTCTATTGCAGTTGCAGATGTCTACAGAAAATATCGTTGATACTTCACTTAAGACTGAGTGAGCTGGAAAAAAATTCAGTCGCTTCTGTAAAGATACGACTCATATTCACGATGTTGTTAAAGTAGCAACTTGCGTTTAAATTAGTTACGACATGACGTGAAAATTAAGGAAGTTAATTGCCCAGCGGTCCAGTTATATCGTTTGAATTTGTCTCTAAACGGCAATATTAATGTTTTGAATGTAGTAGAACAGTAGTATTGAATTGTACTGACGAGTTTTCTGTCATATATCGCCGTAATTATTTTGATGCTACTCTTGCCAACTGTTATCCCATAATCGTCAGTTTCCATGTGTTCGAAAGAATGCTGCTTCAGATCTCTTTTTCCTCTTTTTGTCTCTATACAGTGTTCCGTATTTTCTTTCTTGATTCTTTGATTCATTATCAGGTATTTCTACTGTGAACGGTTTACTTGTGTATGCTGCTTGCCAGAACGAACATTATGAGCGGTCATTCGCTAACAGTTTATCTTTTTTGGTATTTAGATATTCCCGAATTTGATGGCATTCCATAAATAAGACACCGATGACGATTGCATAAGTGCGTTTAGGAATAACATTAATCACTTTGTGTGGTCGTTCACCTGATATCCATCCGACAACCAAAATGCTTCGGCACAGAACAACTACTTGTTCCCTTCAGTTATTCACCGCAAACTACGCTTTATCACCACCATAACAGTTTTCTTTTCACCATCCATCGAACCGTACCGAATACGCATACTACCCTTCTTTCTATACGTAAATAACCAGATTCGTCCCATGATTTGTGCAGTTTGCCTCTAATTATCAATGGTGGGAATGCGCATCGCCATCGTAATCCATAAATTTCGTGAGAAGAGCGAATATGACCACTAACTGCTCTCTGATCACACAAGTTAACCAATCCCTCCGTGATTCCGCTCGTTACCGGTATATATTCATTATTCCTTCCACTACACTCATTCGTACTTCTATTTTATTTGTCATTTGGGAGTTCATCAATTAAATTCTTCGAATATATTTGTAAATTTTGTCTCTTTTAAGATCTTTCAAAGTTCCCAAGTCTTCTCAAGAAAGGCTATTAATTTATTATTTGTCATTCACGCTTTTGTTCATTCTATCATCAGTTCTTTCGCTCATCACTGTTTCAGTGTATGCATAAAATCTTATTCCGTCACACCACATCAACGATACCGTAAGGCATTACAATTTACTTTGCCGGCTCAAAGCCATAAAACAACGTCATCAATTTAAACAAAACTCGGAGAACTTTGGTAGAACAAAGCAATTCACGAAAACTGCAGAGAAAAGCACAGTTTCGCACGAAGGCAGTAAAGTAAATAAATGTACAAAAGAAAATGCACCGATGGTTTTCACAATGCCATCATGAGGACTGTCTCAGACTACCTAATCAGCGACACACCACAAAAGTTTGTTTCCAGGATGAAGAAACATTATCTGTCTACACTGTTCATATAAAAGATGGATGGCATAGTGCAACCAACAAATGACAACAAACCGCTAACAACATAACAAAAAATACGACACAATGCAGCCGAAACACGTGAAAGCATTACGAAATGACCCTGTTTTGAGAACAAAAGCATCAATTTTTCAGTATGCGAGCGAAAATAATGAACTGACTGACAACAACGCCTCAAATAACTTTTCGTAATTTCGATGATAATGCCATACCCAAAATTCGTTTTCAGTGGTGATAGCTCATTGATGCGAGAGTAGACGACTAAGATGAGGTCAACGGATATGAATGATAATTAATTCTTTACACCTCCTGAGGCGACTATGCTGTCCGCCGATCCTCTCAGAAAACCCACATCGATTGGCAGTATATGACAGAAACGTATATATTTTCTTACAATTATAATCAGTTCGGCAGTTTCCCATAATCCACCACCTGGAGCTAAGATATACTCGTTTTATGAGTATTTCAGTTGATATTACTGATTTTACTAGTGAACAGTCCGCGAATCGGGATAATTGACCGATCGAATTTTTATATTCACTAATACCATTCGCCTCTCTCAGTCGAACTTTCTAAGCAACTCTAAGATTGGTTATGAACAAAAAGACACTCACGGAGATGATGTGATTAAGTGATGCAAATCACAACCAATCGGATAACAGAAATGAATTGAAACTCTTTTCGTTTCGAATAGACCCGTACTGAATACGTCAACTGAATGCAAAAAGGCGTTATCGTCTCAAGTCAACGATTGCATTGATGAAAGTTTTTTACAAATAAGTTAAAGAAACAAGATTGATTGTTTAACCTAATGACGTCTACCTTAAAGCCATTTAATCTCATCCTTCCTTCATCAAATAAATAACGACCAATAAAATTATAAGAATAGACTGAATTAAAAACATAACAGATGGTATAAAAGCAATCGAAGAAAATGCATAAAGAAACAAATAACAGTGAGTGGGACGGACGGATGAGATGATTTCTATATGATGATGAGCATCATTGTCGTGAGATGGGTTAAAAGCTAAAACGAGCTAAAAACGAACGACTAACATCAATACCATCAAAATCTTGTCACATATGCCACCCCAAATATTCACATTCATTCGGTCTCAATTTGAAAAAAAAAAAGTTATACTGGAGCAATACAGTTGAGGACGGCTTTGAGATATTACGTCGTTACACATGAAACGCATTGTAATATTTGCATAAGAGAACACTTAAGGCGATGACATATAACATAACACAATAAAATAATATCAGATAGCATCAAACGATCAAGGAAAAAACAAATATTAAACAAAAACATTTGTAAGAGAGCATGAATTAAAATTAACATTAAACCGTTTCGTTGATTGCAAACCTTAACAACTACAAACAACAAAAAAACAAAGCATATGTAGAGTGTAGATGCCTAACCGTATCAAAATGATCATTTATCCGTTCGATAACAACCAAATTTCGCATATAGAATGATTACTCAATGTTTCACACCACTCACAGTGGCTATTCGACAAAGACAAGAAGAAATTGGGAGATTCCTCGACATGAGAGCACTATTAATAGAGGAGATCAGTGCTCAACACCGAGGTTAAAGTCACATATATTATTGGTATGATGGATCTTCAATTGTCGTTTCAACGGCATTATCACTCAAATAACAAAAAGTAAAAATATGTATATATTTTGCATAAATGCACGCAAAATGGAGTGTATGAAAATATCGATAGCAAGAAATTATTGAAGATCTGATCGAGTCATTCAAAGGAAGAGATCATCACATGAGATTGAAGGTGATTTGACAATGCCCACAAACAGCAACTATTTACTAAGTGCTATAACAGCAACAATATTTCTTGCTACCGTTTTCATTGACACAACAGTGGTGCAACTTGTTCGGTTTGTACTTCATCTAATATTGTTCGATTGGTGCTTTTATCAACGTGATCGACGTCACTCTCCGAATCTGAATCATGCCCACTGATGGCTCCAAGGCCTGGGCCCGACAATGACGAAGGAGTACCTGGTGTTCCAGGTGTGGTTGAAGAGACAACTCCGATTGGTGAAGCCGCCTAAAATCCAAGTGAGTATTCACAATCACGATCGATAATGAACCCATCTGGTTTCAACTAGATTGTCGATCAAAGTTCGCATTTATAATTAAGGATACATGTTTGTACGTATCATTATTCAGTAAGATTCGGCGCGAGAGTGCTTTAATGATAAACATCAATCAGTTCTATAAGCTGCTTAGTGTGATTATATTTTGCCGAATTCGCCACAATCTTGAACAAGAAAGCGGTTTTAAAATTACATGTCAAGTTAATATCAAATCAAGACGAAAATAATTTTCAGTCATCAGAAATTGTCCATATCACCAAAGTAACCAACCTCTCTGTACCAAAGACAGCGTTTCTTCCTCTTACAATGTTTACACCATTGATCTTGATTGATAACTCCAAACCTTGCTCGACATTTTTTCTGTTCACCGTTCTCTGAAATCACTATCTAAATAGCTTTGCCCACTATATATCTCTGCTCTTTCTCAGAAGCTTTACAACCAAATCATTGATTTCGTGGATTATCTATAAACACGACAACTAATGAAACGAACTGTGATTGCTTAACACAATGTATTCTTCAAATGCCATGACTACATAATTAAGTCTTTCTGGAACATAGCCGTTCAGAATTAGGCTTAATTCCCACCGCCATTAATACAAAATTTTCACCCTACACTGGATGTAAGAATCCGTGCAATTTTATTCCAATGTAAAAGATAGCTGAATTTTTCCTGGAAGTGGAATGATACAATTTCTGGATCGCACCGAACATTGCTTATTCGTGCTTATCTTATCATATCATTACTGGATTTTGAAAACCATAACTGCAAAACATTGAAGAGATTTCAACATATCAGTTGTTGAGAATCGCTGATCAATTAACAAAATGATATCGAGTTGCATTATGTTGTGGTGAATACCGCGTTTTAAATTGAGTGCATTGCGTTGGTAGAATGGATCACCGAAAAGGATGAAACTGAGATGAAGTGGGAAAGTGAAGAGGTGTAAGTGGCACAGCATATGATTTATGAAATAATCTTACGATTAGAGAAGAGCATCGTGATTCGGTGCTTTCGAACGATAGCTTCTTCACGTCCTACTCACTTATGAAGAGATAAACTGATGAAGATAAACAAGTAAACGGATTAACAGACATGATTAGGGATAAGTGCGGGTACTCCAACTGAATTAGTAAACAAACGTCTACCTACTCGGTGATCAAGTGAAATTGCTGAATAAATTGGTTGTGCGTTAAATGTACCTTTTAAAATTCACCAACTGAAGCTGACATATGACGCTAAAATGTTTTATGAACTGAAGATTCCATTTCACAAACGTTGAGATTGGTTAAAACAGTATGCGCAAACAAATCAGAAAGAAAATGTCAATAATCATTACAGTGCATCTAGTTGAACGCAATTCAAGCGAGCTTTCTTCACTGACTAGGTTCTGTCAGTGATTAATTCTAAGTATTGAACTATATGTTCTTTATTTTCACTGATAATTTGCTGCGTGCATTACAACTCTATGAAGCTTTATGACGGCATCATAATACGGTTATATGAACGTCACTTATCAACGCTGATTAACAACACAAGTTTCGAAAAAGTCGTCTAGTACTATGAGAATAAAATGTGATAAACAAGGGCATACATCACACTGAAATAAACTTTGGGAGTTTTCCTGCTAGAACACCAAACTGCTACTAACAAGTTATTATCCATCAAAAACTTCAAAAATTATATAGAATCATGAAAGAGATAGAAATCAGAAATATTACATCTTTAATAAACGTATTATAGTTTATATCCGCTAAATTTGATGTTTGATACTTGATCAAAAAACGAGCAAAATCAAGTTATCAATCTGTCCTTTGAAATAATATAAATTAAAAAATACATGACCTTCAGCACAAGAACATCTTCAGTACCAATTGATAAAGATTTTATTCAATAGATTATTCAATAGTCTGTTTTTCTACTCATTCGAAGCACGCACTGTTCAACAAAATCCCATTAAAAATAAAAATAAACGAGAAGTATTCAACAGCTTACCAACAGATTTATCACGCTTTCTCTTCTTTTTCTTGTTAATTGCATAGTTCTCGCGTGCTGACCATCCAGGATATTTTTGCATGTGTTGTTCGCGATCCTCTTTGGCCAATTCGTAATACCTTTGTTGTTCCTCTTTTGGAAGATCATGCCATCGTCGACCCAATTCCTAATGAATAACCGAATGAAACTGATCGGACTTCTGTCATCAGCAACACTGCTTCGCAGAATTGAAACTGTTTATAAAATATTTAGCTCAACAATTATATACATAAGCGTCATACTTTGTTAAGTTCAGCACTCTGTCTCTCCTTATAATCGAGTTCTTCCATTAATTTCGGTCTGTTCTCTTTCATATACCACATGAACGCATTCAACGGTTTTTTGATATGCCTTTCCTGGAAAAATTAGTTCATCAACCACAAGAAGACAAGACATTCTTTGTAGTTCACTAAACCCATTTGATAGGAATACTACTTCCCCATATGGACATGTGGTTAACGTTAGCAATGAATTTAATAATCAATTTCCGCAATATTATGATGAGTGAACAATAAGTTTCCGATGACATGATATTTTTAAGGGTGTATGCCGTATTCAAACAAGGAATAACGCCAACTGATTCTTTGAAGCATTTACACGGTTTCAACTCATCAATTATACGGTACTAACCTTGGCAAATCGACTCTCACTTTTGACCTTTTTGGATGCTGGTCCTCCGGTTGGTGTTTGAGCAAGATTATTGGCCATTGAAGTGATTGGTGAACCCATATTAGGTAGTCGCATCTGATTGATTGAATTGAGTGGATGTGGCGCACTCGCTGTCATATTGCGTACCATACTTGCAGCAGCAAATGGATTGCAACCTTTAGCTGAAGCCGCTGGACTTCCCTTAAACTAACTGTTTTAGCATTCTTTCGAATCCAAAATCTATATGACTAATACGATGGAACTAGTCAAGCAAAGAATGGAATAATTACTGGCTATTCAGAGCAAATAATGTGCGACTGAATATTTTGTAACGTGAGTCACTCAGGCAATATATTTCTCAATGAACTTATTTCAAATTTGGATTACGGGCTAATAATTAAAGATATATCATTAGTATTCTCAAATAATAAATCATTATCAGCAACAAAATTTCCAAATTCGAATAATGAATCATGACCACCAATCATTATCACACTTGAATACGGTTATCACGCTCTATAACAATTTGAACATTCAAAAAACTGACTTGAAGTGGAGAGGCAGGCGCGAATGGGAAATTCCTGTACATATCGAAGCTAGGTGACATTGTCTGAGCGGCTTGTTGCATAACGAAAGCAGCCGCATAACTTGGGGACATGGTTCTTGCATCCATCGCACTAGGTGGCATCCTCCCGAAAGACATTCCATACGGTGACTGACTCTGAAATCCATAAGTTGACAGTTTATTTTCTACTGTTCAACGCTATCAATATAAAATCTACAACTTGACTACTGTTCGACGATATCAACAGTTTGTTATATGATCACCATTCTGATTGATCATCTTGCTCATAACTATAGGGCTTTGATTTTATACTCAATATTAAGATATCGATTATCATTAACAGGCTGAAGCACTCCTCTATTTCGAAGTTTGATGTTGTGTTACATTCTCTTTTGCATAAATAATTCGAATTATTTTAAAATTTTGAAACACTTCGACTCTTCGAGTACATCAGCTATCCGATGATGTACGCACAGCTGAATACCAATCGTAAAGTGAATGTTTAAAAGCAATTCACGATTCATTCCATCCGAGAAAAAAACTTAAATGTGTGCTTCGAAAACAGAATTTCTGTTCAACCACACAACCGAGTCATAAAAATAATAATTAGTTTTGATAACTCTAATGTGCATTTTCAACGATAGTTCTACTTCTGTGCAAATAAATCCACTTGGTTATTGAGCCCATCCCTTTAAGTGTGTGTATGTGTGCTGAGTTGAGATTTTGGCATTAGGAAGTGAATGGGTTGTCGACACATATGAACGGCACAGCACCATCTAGTGTGCGTTATGCGTCAACAGCTGCAGAGGCTATTCACTTGTGTGTTTGCAGGCAATTTGTCGGTGAAAAAAACCACAACGGAGAAAACTGTCTAAATGACATTCGATGAGTGTCCCAAACGAACGAGATATGAAGGAGGTACTAAATTTAAGTACGAGAAAATGGGAATGCGTTAATACAAATACTATAATCAATGAGTATGTCTTAATCACTGTCATGTCATCATGCAAATCACCGGATATGAGTAACACAAACAGCTACAACAACATACAGTAGTTCTTCACTGGATGTTGTCAATGATGATAGTCATTGATTATTTGCAGCACTTGAGCGGATAGTGCAACCAACGAATCACCTCACGTCACTACTTCGGGTTAGTGCGAGTGCAACCCTCAATAAGACCATCCCGGCTAATCATCACCTCTTTCAATACTAAATTGTTTTGTGGCCCTAGCTTTGAAATTCGATCATTATCTTTCTCATTCCACCATCTACTATACAACATTTAATAAACGCATTATTTCACAAAGCATGACTTAAGTCTTTTTAAATCGGAAAGAAACGTTCGAAATCCGCATAACTTCGCCGATTATCAAGAACATTTCAAGCAAATGAGTTTCAAGTTTCATCATTTTTCAGCAATCACCAACAAGTTTCAGCAACGTTTCAAGCAATACTCATAAACTCTTTGCAACGAAGAGTTGTTCAACTTTAAACAAAATATTCACTGATGTAGTAATATGTTAACAAAGCTTTTTTGTTACATCTAACGGTTGGTTCAGTTCGATCAATCTAGCGTTACATAACCCAACAATAATCATCATACAATTGTTCTTTTGTATTCAAAAAACGTATTTTGTCGAAAATGCATTATATATGCAAATCAAATACATCAAATCACAACTTATGAAAATAGTGCTCCTTAAAAAAACCGATGGCTATCCCAAACAACAGATTGCATGCTAAAGAATGCTGCCGCATTCATATACCAAACACTAACAACAATTCCATCCATCTCACTTCCATCAGTGTGAATGAACTAGCCAATATTATTGAACTGCGCACCGAAATAAGAAAATGGATAGAGATCTACATTGATTATGATTTTGAATCGACAATTCAAAAAATTAGAAACGTCTTTGTGGAAATGTTAACACAACGCAAACAAACAGATTATATTCTAGGTAATGAATCTAATGCTACTAATGTAATGTGAATGAATCAAGAATATTCTCGAATGTTTCATTTCCAATTTATGGCACCTTTTTGCTTTGAATTATTAGACTGAGCATTTTGAGTGAATATTATAGCTTCATATGTGAAAAATGGTGAACCCCTGATGAGGCGAACAATGAGTGGTGAGCGATGAAAGCATTAAGAAAAATGCGGTAAAGGTGACAGGTTGAATGATAGCTTTATTTTCGAAACGAGAATGTGTGATTTGATGAGAATATTATAAATGATGCGTTTTTCATAAAAGCAATTTCAGAGGTAGTTTCGTTGTTGGTACCAAATAAATGCTGTGTTTATCAATCAGTCAGTGTGAATCGACTAACTGCCAAACGAACAATATCGAATTCTGAATTTTCTTATAAAAGCGAATTTGCTGCACAACAACGAAAGCAATAAATGCAATCCGTTATCAATGCCAATAAGCAATCGCTAAAATGATGAATGAAAATATCTTCTCATTATATTATTTTCTACATAAAGTTATGTAGTTTACTGCAGTCATATCCCACTACTTCATATGATTACACATCACACACCTATATACTTATTCATTTCCTTCGTTGTTCTCTTATCCATTCAGTTGTTTGGCTAGTTCTCAGCCGCACTCATTTATTTGCTGCATAAAATCAACGCATCTTGGATTCTGTCTTAATTATGCACCTCATCGTAGTTCATTCGTCGAAGCAATTTAGACACAATCATATTGAATAAAAAGTGATTGGATGATTGTTCCCCAAAAATAAAATAAATGCATTCGCGTCCACTGATCATCACATGTATACTCTACTAATGCTCAAAATACCCCACTTCACTGATAATGTTGCATCACGAAATATCAAGTTCTACCTGGAAATTATCATTCAGAACCACTGGAATTATTAGATCTAAAATGCATTCAAGTCTAACACAATTGATAAATAGCACCAATAAAAGGAATACTGATGTATATAAGAGCTGGAACTTACGGGAAGAAAAAATGGATAAAATAATGGAAGCGGCCCATATGATGGTGACATAGCAGCCGCCGAGAACGCTGGAAACGTCGGCGATGGCTTCACGAAAGCACCTGGTTTGGACCCTGCAACGACATTTTCATTCACTAGGAACATGTATTTACACCTGAACTAAAATTGAACTTCTACAAAATCTTTTCTTCCAAATTCAATGGACGAAACGAAGACTACAATGAACCGTTTCGATAAAATAATCCAACGGATAAAAACATCTGATAATCTCAACTCGCATAAGGAGAAACTTAGAATACTCGCAAAAAGAAGGATCACATTCCTTCTTACAAATATTGATAGAAATCGTAGAACGCTGTTTGGCTTTCACAATGTGAAAATTTCGTGAGGTTTGCACACAATGCACTCATATTAATTCATATCCATACATTGGTATATTTATCTAAAAGCCATCTGCGCTGGTGTTTTCAGTTAGATGATTTTTTTAACGAATAAACTGAAGATATAAAGTTACACTTGAGAAAGTTCATAAGTCGAAAACACTGAACGAAAGAACAAATCAAAAGACGATATCAACTTTTAATTTCAAAACAAAATCAATGGCTGATTTCCCGGCAGCTTATTTTCAAACTGTTGTTTTTCATTAGAGGAAAATGTTTTGTTAGGTTCATGCTAGGAAGTATCCAGCTTCTTAGCATTCATAATATTTTTACCAATTGAACCGCTTACGAATAAATTTGATTGATGAACTTCTTCGATTTCAGACTCCGTTATTAATCATGACTTGCACGCTGCCGGTAGTCACTGAGATATAAATTTGAATGCAAGGATAGATTTAGAGAAATATATGTATGACGAAATTTTGGTCCCTAACAGTTTTTGTAAGAAATAACTGCTGCTTATTCGTAGGAACTTCTCTGTTGAATATAGCATGTGTAATGGGAGCAGAACTGGAAATTATTTACAATAAAATGCTGAGTGGAACGTGAGCATGACGTTAGCTGAGAACGGAGAAGTAAGCACTCATCTCCAGCTTTCGATATTTATTTAAAATGCCATCTTTAGGTGATAAGCATACGACTGTGCATTTAAATAACTTGACATTGAAATTCGTGGGAAGTGTTCCAAGGAATGAATTTGTTAAAGAACATAATTGAATGATAACACTGGCATGATTGCGTTCTCGTTTCTAGCAAGACTTAATTCAATGCGGCTATTTGGCAAACTTCGTTGAGAATCATCAAGTTCGAAGCACAATTATTTTTCAGTTGGTCACTCCTTACTTTCGAATAACTCAGCATCTCTTGTAGAAGTCATATATCTCAGCAGTAAGCAAACAAAACTGCCGATTCGTAAACTTTCCAACCCACTTACCTCTTATGTAATTTGAAAATGACTGCCGATTATTTTAATCATATATTAACATTTCACTGTTTGATGATATTGTACCTGTTCAGTTTTACATCTAAGCTCATAAATTTTACTTCAGGCATATATATATGCATAAAAAGGAACTTTGTAACCTAATTTTATTCACTTCTTAACATGCATTCACTCCATTAAAGTCATTCTCTTAGCATTTTAGTCACTTTGGCTTTGCAGTCATTGAGCTTCAATTCTTGCTGCTCAGAATGGTACCTTTTCATGGATTTAATATTTCACTACTCTGTGTTCTTCGATCAGCATCAAACAATTTCTGGAGTCTAACAATATTGCCACACATCCCCATTATAAATTCTACTTCCATCTCTCATTACCTCCCGGAATCCCGGCTTCGTTTTCCGTCTCCAGGGTTTATAACTTGAATGCTCACAAACGAAACTCTTTTCTTTGATCTCTTTGCTTGACGAAAACATTGTTTCTTGAACTTTGCATTGGAATTTAAAATATCCTTCATTGATATTGCTAACACTTTTGTTTCTCATTGAAAATCTGAGCATTATTTTGCAGACTATTGATATATTTTCCATTGATCATTGATGAAGAACGCGTTTAAGATTATGCACAACGAGAAGAGTGTGTTTGCATCACGACTGACAGATTCGTTTGTATGAGTGAATTTATATTTGCATACATAACGTGTGTAGTGCATACAAATGACACTATTATTGAGCGTGTAGGAGAGGAGAGAATAAAATGAGACAACAACAATGATAACGGTCAATTTTCATTGGGTCGTGCACTCGAGCAGCAAACAAATGAGAGACTCAAGCAATAGCGAGCGTGAGATGAAATGATGGTGATGTTTTGCCGCTCAAAACTACTCAGTTCATTATCAATGCGCTCCGGTCGGTATGTGCTGCTAGAACAAAAGAGGCGAGAAAAAACATTCGAAACACAACAACGTTTTATCATTTTAACACTAGCTGCCTTTATGGCTTTTGTGATAACAAATAACAATGATGACGAAATACAATGTGTATGCCAAACGTATTGATAATACATCGCAACTTCGATAATAAATCACTTAGAAATGCCGTTCGCAGTGCAACGAATTAATTCTTAGCAACATGAGGAATCTAGCACACGATAATGTGATTGGACGACCTTATTATTGCAAAGTGGCTGCTTAGTATGCAGCTGATGAATGGAAAAATTTCACTGCATTCCTGAGATCCATCAGGTGAGTTGAAAGATATTGAAAGAGATGTAAAATAATCAGATAATGTCAAAAGCGATAAACAAAACAAAGCTTATCGCTTGAAAATTTCAGACAGATCGATTAATATATCCTTATCAAACAGTTTGTTCATAATGACAGTGGTCATACACGTGAGAATATGAGTTTAAACGAGTCAATGCCTAATGAATGATCAAAACGAGAAAATGCGTTTCAAAAGTGAAAGAAACAAGCAACGAACCGATAATGGTTGAGGACGGTGTCCTTGTTTCGAGTTCGGTCTCAAGGGCCACATCTTTCTTATCTTCAGTTAACTGATGCGACGACTGCGCCGTCTCCACGTCGTCCGCATCATTCCTTTAAAAAGAACAAAAATACGGATAAACAATATAAGAACCGCCACATTTCCTGGTATATTATTCATTTATAAATGCTATGAAACAACAAGATGATTACGTAAAAGTTTAAATTCTGAGTTTTGCATTACAACTGACTTAAACAACTCTTGTGGATCCACTGAAGTCTCAATATACAATTCTTATGTAGCAATTACCGCTGGTACAACCCAAAAGACAAAAATCAAAATGTTCAGAATCTCTCTTAGAAATGAATGCCTTAGTAGAGATAATATAAAACAATCACTATAGGTATGACAAACGTAAAAAGAAAACAATGATAAGCGTATTGTGATTGTTGTTGTAGATTATCATTAAATAACAAAGTGATGATATGTCACTTAACACGAGTTTTTTCAGAAAACTACAATACCAATTATCACGAATATTCTTAAGAATAAGATAATTACATACAACTGATCCCTTCCGCACATACATCGAAAACCGCTTCTCAAGAAACACAACATTCAATTTTAATCATATTATTAAGAATGCTGCGCTGCGAATGATACTGTTAACGTGCTCCGAGACAAAAACGGACAGATAAGTGATCAGATTCTTGCAAGGACCTACTTTCCTCGGGGTAATCACCTCATTATAAGAACGCAACTTAAATTTCGTAGCACAAAATGACAAAGCACATTAATAACACTAACCGAAGCTTCTAAATAATATACTCGACGGTCAGTGTTCGATTGCAAAAGAAAATAAATCGACATCGACCATTCAAATGAACATTTCAATTCGTTTTTTTTTCATTACAACTCACAAATACAGTCTTCAATAATTTAACTAATTACTAACTAATTCACAAGAAATTGGCTTCATATCCACAAACAGCTAACAAACATAATATTTTTTCAGTTGATTCAGCTTCTTTGAATCTTTTTTCAGAACAAAAAATTTTGTTCACTGATGAGAGTCATGCGCTGGAACGCGGACAGATGGATGATCAATTAAGCTGTAATCACGCTTCGAAGATCCAGATTCAAGACAGTAACAGTAAACTTTGAGATCGCTTTTAGAAAATCTAGATGAGAAGATGATACGTTATTTTCAACAAAATTGTGGGACGGAATATTCTAATGATGATGTACTGATTGACGGTTGCTTGAATGAGTTAAATGTTGATGTTTGTGTTGCATACGTATGTGTGAGTGCATGGAAGAAAGAGGATGATCCTTATTCAAATAATTTATATGCACAGTAACCTTGTCAAATCCGTAATCATTTTGAAATATTTCGAAAATTGACGATTATTATCGTGCACCACACGACAACAATTGACTATGTAAATAAGTTAGCAGAATGCAAGTGATAATACTAAACCGAACAAATAACTGCAATGAATGCAGCATTGTCGTAAAATCAAAATTGCTAATACTGTGATACATAAACGATTCGCTCTTGATTTCATACAAAAGTTTGTTCATTCATAATAATGCTAATAAACTAAAAACTGGACAGTTCATCCTTTCTCAACTGAAACAAAACTCTTGCGGTGTTAAAAACTGCCTGGACAATGAGGAAGAAGGCAAATTTTCTTATGAAATGACCGCACCTGAGTATAACTGATTCGGTAAAAGATTTAGGTGTACAGTAGTTTCACATTGATCGGAGACGATCGAACACAACATACAAATAATTCCTTTACTCGACGAGAAACGTTTCAATGCATTCACAAAAACATTGCACCCAACAATTAATTTAACAGTTTCAAAACAATGGGCACAATCTTTTTTGTGCTTGTGCAAAGCGCAGAACGAAGATTGGCTTCGAACTTGCGTACTAAGTACATAGATCATACTCTCTTTAGAATACGAAAAATCGCGAACTTAAAAATACATCTCTGCTGACCACATCCAACCTGATACTATCATGTTAATCGCAGGAAAGAAAGGTACATGATCATAAGAATTCCTACATATAATTTATTTGAATCCTTTGAAGTTATCTTTTCGTATCATTTTTAGTAAAATAAATAATGAGAACTATGATTGCAAAACAATGGAATCCTTGAATACCAAAAAAATTGCCAGTTCAATTTCAAAGTTACTAAATGAAGACAAACTTTTCGACTTTAAATGCATCACTGATGATAATGATAGTAAATTAATAATAATGAAAATTATGATTAGGAAACATAATGGAATGCTTGAATCAAAACTGTCAGATGCATTTATTCTCTCGTTCACGATACTTTCAGTCGTATTGATTTATGGACAGTTCCTTTCTACCTCCTTCCTCTTCTTCAATTCAGCGATCAATATTAACCCGTCAAACAAAGGACTACCACAGAAGCATTCATTCATCAAACTAACTGATTTTCAAAGACCATTTCAATGCATTTTCACGTAGGAGTTTTATTTTACGCAAAACTGAATGAACTACTAGCACATGAAGTATCAAATAGGAGCATCAAGACAAATCTTATGCATGTGGTTTTTTTGCCAAGATAATCAGCAAAATTTAGTGGTGGGAAGAGCTCAAGTTCTCTTCAAAAAGAGCAATTCAGAATAATAATTAATAATTCCAAGAGGCGACAGAGTGGAAAGAAGCAAGAATTGATGCGTTGAAAAAACAACAGGAGAGCGCAACGATTGATATCGGTATCGCGCGACTGCACGTGTTTCTATACTATTATCAATCAAAACCCTATGAAAACTGAGAACCACAAAACAGAGATGAACACTGCACACTAATGAAAAAGTTGGCATTGCGTGAAGCACTGACGTGCAAACAACATTATATCAAAGAGCAATTTATACCAACAGAATTAGCAAAAATAAAGCAGTATTATTAAGTAATTATTGCTTCAAATATGATGATAGTGTCAAATAAAAATAAAATAGGATTCTAACAGTAGAAGTCGATAGAATAATAATGGTGTTGCTGATAATGATAATGACAGCAATATTATGAATGTAGGAAATGAGAAGCTGATGATGCAAACACAGAATAGTTGATTACAGGGGAGTGAATATTTATGGTAGGATGAAAGCATTTGTTCATTTGAAAAATCAAAATCAAATAAGCAAAACGATTGGCACAACTTCGAACGATTATGCGCATCAAAAATGAAAGCAACTCATAAAAAATTAAACAAACCTTCTAAAAACTTTAACTTCATCAGCGCCGTCTTCGTTGGCGCCACTCATGACACGATATCAAATTGAACAAGTACGATGATTGTATATGGCTTTAAGAGTTGGATGAATGAAGTGATGTAGTATGTTATATATTATATTATATACATATATTTATTAATATAAATATATACATACTATCTTGAACGCTATTCCCAAGCATAATACAACAAGTCTCATTGAATCTCTACCCTGCATCTCTGTTTCTATGTGCACATTCAAACGTACAAGCACCGCCCCCATCCACTAACGCTTCCTATTAAAATGAAACTCATATGCCTAACGCTCCGCCTTAATAAAACAACTAAAGGAGCCGCATCGCGTTATAGATCGTAATCGCTTTGCCTGAACATCAATTGTGTGGTTTGAAATGTTCAAATGAAGAAATAAACAATGGATGAATGAATGGCTCTTGTAAGATAATGATAGACGCGTCATTGGAGAAGCGATGAACCCTCTAGATTTGACATGCTCTCTGGCAATTAATATTGTTCTAGTTATAACCCCTCTGTAATAAATCTACAGTGGTCATTGCCTAATTTTATGCTCTTTTACCATAACACACTAATGTGCATATGTCATCGGCGAATAATCAATCCCTTTCAAATTGCTTGGTGTATGTGTTTCAAATTTGAAATTCTAGTCAATTTCCATTACACACGATGCCGATGTTCATTCGAAATGCATCTATATATCATTGATATACTGCATATCTACAATACATGGATAATTAATTATATCGTTAGGGAAAGGTCGTGAACGAGCAGGACTTTGTGCAAAATAACGGGAAGCCAAATTAATCAAGGAGCACCATACCTTTTCCATCCTGCTTTTTCACCGAGTAGAACAATATTTTAAAGAAATTATTGACTGAAACGCTAAGGGATCTAGGGTTGAGAACAGCCTCTATAAGAACATATTAGTAATAACTAAAAATATTCGGTTATATTCACATTAGTCACACATCTAATAGCGATGGCAACCAAACTGGCTTTGCATTCTTATTTTGAATTTTCCACAACGCGGAATTTGTTCGAACGATTTCGGAATTCACCGAAATTATCAGAGCAAATCTTTGGCTGGAAACTGTCTAGCCGAAGTGTGCTTGCTTTCAGTTTGAATCTCAGTCAGTTACCATCACTGTTACCTGATAAATTATCTTTTTCTTTAAATTACCGAAATAAGTTTTATCTAAATAGATACTGAACAATTTTTATGTACACTTTATTGAATACTGTGGTCGTCTGATAGTGGAAGCTGAAAGTAAAGCTTATTTCAGTACTTTGCATCATGACTGCTGCAAAACTGCACCAGAATTATGATTTTTTCAAATAGGGCATCGCCTTCGTTCATTTAAACTGTTCATTCCAATAAATTGGTTGCAGCCCGACTGGTTGTAGCCGGAACACTCCTTACCATAGTAATCAAGGGGAAATGAATTGCTCTGCTCCGGCCTAATCAGTTCTTAATCATGTGTTCTTTACTAACTGAGTAAAGAATTTGCAAATTTAATGACTGATTTTGTAGAGTTTAGAGTAAGGTTGGGCTGAAGGCGAAATTGGGCTCGGGGTGCCTCGAGAGTGAAGGGAGCATCGTAGATCCCCATGACCTCGTAGCTGCTCAGGAGTCCCAAGGGTTGGGGCTCTCGAGATTAAGAGGTAGGTTCGAGGACCCCTGAAGCCTCCTATTTGTTCGGAGCACCCAAGACAAGGGAATAAGGTGGGAAGCCCCGGCACTTCGCGGGCGATCAAAAGGCCCCGAGGTTAGGGGATAGAGTCGGTGGCTTCCTAGATCTTGAAATTAGTCAAGGGCTCC